GGGAAGGAAAGAGTCGATCATGTGACTTACCACCGAACGAGGAAGTTGACGTCGTACTGCAAAGCTGTCATTTGAATACTTCATTCAACCAACCAGGTCACAGAAACACGATAATCAACCAATGACAACAACTGAGCAGCTAATGAACCGTCAACCAGAGGACAAATTTGATAACCAAAAATCCAGATAGCAATTTGAGATTAACCAACCAAGCATGAAATATTTGACAAAAACGTAGTATTACTACTGTAGTAGTACTTCTGTTCGATAACTAGGAAGTGTCAAGCATTTTAAGCTCCGTCTGTTGTCGGCAAACAAGTCAAATCCCAATCATTAAAATAGCCTATCAAGGCAGAGTACCATCACAACAGCATACATCACATCAATCATCATGATTAATCACCAATGACGATCCGATCACAGTGCACTCTGGGAGTTTTCTTTCCAGGGTTCCACAGTGTCCCTGAAGGCCACAGAGGTCCACAGTCTTCACGCTGGACAAAGACAAGTCCACGTCCACATGTGAGAAGTGATTCAACCAATCAGCTACAAGTGTCGGGTGATGCTGTGACCGAGGTGTTGCTGACGTGTCGACCTGAGCTCCAGTTTGTTGCTGTTGAACAGAAAGTTCAGTCACAACAACTAATAAAAAATAAAATAAAATAAGAAAGAATCAGATAAGAAGGAGACGGAGAACTCGCTGATATTTTATCAGATCTTCTCAGAACCTGAGCTCAGATCAGACGAATCTCTTCCTGTGAATGTCCGTGAAGTTTCCCCTGAAGGAGGGAATGATGTGAATCAAGGCCAAAAAATGTTTTTTAAAAAATGTCCCGGTTCACACTAATCCTGTTTGTTCCACAGCTTTGAAAAAAATTCAATATCTCCCACGTTTACAAATCGTGCGACACTTCATCGTTCTCTACTTGTTACCATTTAAAGTTAGACGGAAGATAGAACAAATGATAAAGTTTATCATTTTTAATTGAAAAGTTAGTGAGCTGTGGTCATGGTGATACAGCGCCATCTTCAGCTGCATTTCATTGACTTGTAAGACTCAGAATAAACAACAAAAACAAAAACCAAATTATTGGCTAAAACTAAAACAAATGACTAAAAGTGTAAAATAAAAAATACTGAACTGCTCCTTTAGGTCTTGATCAGGAGAGGGGAGGGGCCGGGAGTGCTGACTAATCAGACACACCTGTGAGGTGGAGCTCCTTCAA